GAGGGTCACTACAAGTTTGATCTCTGTAGTGAGAACTGGTAAACTCTGTACTAAATACATTAAAAATCAATTAATCAGTCAATCCTGCTCTGGTTCCCTAGTGGAGACATCCTGACTCATTAATTCTCCTTTCTCTTAACCTCTGTGTTTTCAAAATTTGACAACTACCTATCTTTCCTCATGTAAATCTTGTGTCCATACCTTATAGGTACATCTTTAATTCTGACTGTAGCTGAGTGCTATAATTTTATGTTTTTATTTTTGCCTCCTCTATAGGGCTGTCTATTAGCTTTTTTTGAGTTCTGTCCTATATGTGAAAATTTCTACAGATGTTCAAATATTTTCTCCAGATTTCCATGTGTTGAGACCAGATTAGATGTCTGTAAGACTTAATCTGTCACTGTGTCAAAGCAAAATAGTAATTTTCACATAGCTTATGTATGAAAGAAGAAGGTAAAATAGAGCAACTGTATCAGGTGACAGTGAATAGAACAGGTATGCACATATGCATTTAGGGGAATGGCAGGTGAGAAATAGAAAAATGTTATATCTTATCATCTTCAAAAAAAGTTGTTAAAAGCAAAAAGGTTGAAAGTTTAGAGCAGTTTATGCCCAGTTAGTTATGGCCTTGGAAGTAGGAATGAAGCTATAAAAGGACTTGAGTAGCTCAGAGAAGGGACACACATAAGCACATTCAGGGACCCTTGCTCAGAATAAGCTGATCAATTAGTAGTACATCTATGTGTTAACATTCCACAGGATATGTTTCTGTTTTATTTTGTATTAGGCATTGCTTTAAAATAAGTAGGCTAACAGAATTTTGGAAATCTTTAAGTTTCTAAGAAACTGTCTTCTATGATATTAATATTTAATTTTACCTATTTATTTATTTATTTATTTGGTATAGGGTCTAGCTATGCAGCTTGGCCTCATAGTGATTTTCCTGTCTCAGCCTCCCCATTGCTGGAATTACGGGTGTGCACCACCATACCTGGTTTTGGGATGGCACAGCATGTGGTACTAGGGATTGAACCCGAGATCTTGCACTTGCTTGGCAGGTACTTAAACCAATGAGCTCTCTCCCCAGCTTGATATTAATATTTAATATTAATTCAGTTAGTTAAAGGACTTTTGAGGAGCACTTATACTGACTAAAAATCAGGTATAGGCCTGCAGGATCCTGAATAGACCCAGAGAGCAGGCCCCGCGAGTGAGTAAGACGACCTGGACAGCGGGATCCTGAACAGACCCAGGGCGCAGGCCCAGCGAGTGAGTGAAACCACCAGGGGCCCTCTGGATCCTGATTAAATCCACAGCGCAGGCCCAGCAGGTGAGTGAGATGACCTGGGCCTGGCGGGATCCTGAAAAGACCCAGAGCGCAGGCCCTGCGAGTGAGTGAGACATCTGGGGGCCTGCGGGATCCTGAACAGACCCAGAGCACAGGCCTGGCAAGTGAATGAGATGACTGGGGGTCTGCGGGATCCTGCACAGACCCAGAGCGCAGGCCCGGCGAGTGAGTGAGACCACCCAGGGCCCGCGGATCCTCATTCAACCAAGGCTGCAGGCCCAGCAGGGAACCCTTCAGCAGAACTCCCTGCAAAGAGGCTAGA